ATTGTAATAGAATCAGGGACATAGAAAGGGAATGGGCTGACTATTCTTGGGGGGGGAAAGGGATGTGGGGGTGAGTGAAGAGATTAGACAATAATCGTGCACCTATGGATGAGGACAGTGGGTGGGGAGTGAGGGCAGAGGGTGGGGTTGGAATTGGGTGGAGGGGAGTTATGGTGGGAAAAAAGAGTAACTAATGTAATAATCTGAACAATAAAGATTTAATAAAAAACAAACAAACAAACAAACAAACAAAAAAAACAACAAGAGAGCCCACTTCCACTTCCTCTAAATATCAATGGAAAAAATATGCTCAGGTGAGGATTAACAAAAAAACAAGGACAACCTACTGAATGGAAGAAGATATTTGCCAATGATACATCTGATAAGGGGTCAATATCCAAAATTTATAAAAAAAATAACTGAAATTCAAAAAAAACAAAATCAAAAAACCCCCAAACAATCCAATTAAAAAATGGGAAAAGGACCTGGATAGACACTTATCCAAAGAGGACATACAGATGGCCAAGAGACATATGAAAAATGCTCAGCATCAGTAATCAGCAGGGAAATGCAAATTAAAACCACAGTGAGATAGGACCTCACACTTGTTAGAATGGCTACCATGAATAAATCAACAAGTGCTGGTGAGGATGTGGGGAAAGGGAACCTTTGCGGACTGTTTTTGGGAATGCAAATTGGTGAAGCCACTGTGGAAAACAGTATGAAGTTTCCTCAAAAATTAATAATAGCCCTAACCAGTTTGGCTCAGTGGATAGAGCATCGGCCTGCGGACTGAAGGGTCCCAGGTTCGATTCCGGTCAAGGGCATGTACCTTGGTTGCGGGCACATCCCCAGTGGGGGGTGTGCAGGAAGCAGTTGATCGGTGTTTCTAACTCCCTATCCCTCTCCCTTCCTCTCTGTAAAAAATCAATAAAATATATTTTTAAAAAAAATTAATAATAGAACTACCATATGACCCAGCAATTCCACTTCCGGGTATTTATCCAGTGAAACCCAAAACATTAATTCCAATACACATATGCACCCCTGTGTTCACTGGAACGTTATTTAGAACTAGAGGCCCGGTGCACGATTTCGTGCATGTGTGGCATCTGGCCCGTCTTCCCCAATGGG